TGTGTGTGTGTGTGTGTGTGTGTGTGTGTGTGTGTGTAAAATTGAGAGCATTTTCAGTTTCAGTTAAAAACTATCTTTTTTGGTACCCTAGTTATGAAGATACCAGCCTTTAAAATGATGTTTTCCAGTATTTGAGTTTTCTTAATGGATGAGTTAGTCGTATTCTAAAGTACAGTCAGAATCTAGATGCTGTGTGGTAAGGACCCAAGGTCCCCCCCCTCCCACCCCCAAACAGTACAATCTGCAGGGGGAGGAGGAAGCCAATGCTGCCTCCTTCCCAAGTCTTGTTGTTGCTGGATGGCCTTGGAGGGGTGAAGTAGGCATGGTCCTGGATCTGAAAGTGTAGACTAGGCTGAAAGGATAGCACCAGGCAGGAAGGGAGGAGCTGGGATTGTGGGGTCTCGGCGGGTCGGGAGGGGGGGCTTGCAGGGCAGGGCAGGGCAGGAGCATTGGCTGTGTGGAGTAGGTCCCCAGATAGCTTTGCTGTGTGTGAGAGAGGAAATAGAACTGAGAAGCAGAGTACTGTGCTGTGTGGAGTAACTGCTGGATGTTCAAGGTGTTCAAAGCACCTGGTGAAAGTTGGGAGGAGCTGGGATGTTAGAGGCCTGGACAAGACCCCCCCAGCTGTGTTTATTGTTGTGCACAACTGACTGTGGTCTCAGGACATCCTCTGCTGGGACTTCTCTGTGGAAACTGGGATTTGCTTGCATTCATCTGGGGTAGTGCTTTCCCTTTGAACTGCACACCTAGCATCCCCAGGGCTCCTGGGGACACAGATGCAGGTCAAGTCTCCTTATCCAAATGCCTGGAACCAGCAGTGTTTTGGATTTCCCATCCACCCTCTCCCCCATCTTGGAGTATTCTATATACATAATAAGGTACCTTGGGCAGGGGACCCAAATCTAAACACAGAATTCATCCATGTTTCATATCTGCACTCATACACATAGCCTGGAGATAATTTTTATACACTGTTAAAATAATTTTGTGTATTAAATAAGGTTTCATGTATGAAATTTCCCAGTGGTGCTCGAAAAGCTTCAGGTGTGGGAGCATTTGGGATATCAACATTTCAGAATACCAGTGCTTAAGTTTATACTTGGTAAAACGCAGCAAAACTCAACAACTAGAAAGATGAAAAAGTACACAAACACTGGGCCTCAGTTTTTTTTTTTTTAAATGAAGATTAAGAGAAATTCCTTTGAAATTCCTGTAAGTTTGTGTTTATTTCCAGCTTCTGTATCTATCTCTGGGAGCTAGTACCAGCTCTTGAACCCTTTGGTGGCCAGACTTGAGTGGCACCATGCTAGATCCCAGAGGAAGGGGAAAGACATGGCTGGAGGCTGAGGATTTATGATTGACACAAGTCAAAGAACACCTGTGGGACATCGTCCCTGCCAATGATTGTCACCCATCAGCTGAGAACTGCTATAAGTGATGTTGAGTCATTAAAGGGAAGTTGCTAAATATTTTACTCACATCCTTACAACTGTATTGTTTGAGTCATGTGCCTAAATCACTATTTTTTTTAAACTCCTTCAAATAAATAAATAAATGAATAAAACGTCTTAAGGCAGGGTTTTTTGTTCCCTTCCTTTCCAAATGAAGACAGCAGATCTCAACATGGTTGCTTACAAGAAAGAATCATGGGAGACTCTTTAAAATCTGTGGATTCTAGGTCGCACCCCCTCTGATTAGTTTGGGGTGCACCTAGTGTTGTGATTTTTTAAAAAGCTCTCTGTTAACCCTGAAGTGCAGTCTGCTTTCACCTGTAGGGGATATGCTAATGATACATAAAGTTTCCTGGCTGAGAACTTACATAAAGCATCATAGCACTGTAAATAGTACTGCAAAACCATCAGTTGAAATTGCATCAAATGCCTGAAGATAGTAAGCGCAAAATAATCTTGTGTATGTTAATGGTACAAAGGGTTTTCTTCCAGCCCTCCCCACCAAATATTGTCAAGCATTTTCATAATGCTTGCTGGTGTGTGTATGTGTGAGATATATATATTTCCATTTCGCTTATGCAGTATCTAGACTATCTAGTGTAACATTCATAATCTTACAAATGGAAGATTATGGAATCTTGATTGCTTACTTCACCTGTTATCACCGCAGTAACTACTCTTGCATCAGTGATGGTAACAGACCTTGGTTACCATCTAAGCCTGCAAAGATTTGATTGGAATAACTTGCAGTAATTGTAACTGTTATCCCAAGTGCAACAATTGATGGATTCTTTAAAATGTGTAGTGCCTTGACATTATTTATTCAAATCTTAACAGTATGAACCTTGTTCTACAGTTGAGAATAACCCTTGGTATTTTCTAAATCACCAAATAGCATTCGATAGTATCAGTATAGACACATTTCCTACGGTGAGGTTTTAGTTTGTTTGTGGGGCCAAAAGCTGGCTGCAGTTTTCAAAGACAGGAAAAACTTTTTTTTTTTTTTCCTCTTTTGCCGATGTACTATTGGTGTGCTGAAAACTCTGAAGGTCGTATGATTCACTCATTCAGTGCTTTTGGGCACCTCTTTGGCTGTGCAAGGCACAGGAGACAGAATTCAGCCTCATGTCCTTTCAGTAAGGAGGAACACTGTGACATTAATGCCACTAACCTCCAAATACAGGGCTCTGCTATGTGCAAAGAAAATGACCCCTCACCCCATGATTTCCAATAGGGTTTAGGTTTTGGATATTTCACTCTTGTTTACCTAAACATTATACCTGCCTCTCTTTCCCTCCTTCACTGTTTTTTTCTTTTTCTTTTTCTTTCTTTTTTTTTTTTTTGCGGGGAAGACTGTTCTATCAGCGGAAAAACGAACTCTGAAAGTAGTTCTATGGGCTCTTTCTGGGGCTGTGGGCCAGTTATTTATATCCTTCTGAGCTTTGGTTTCCTCTGCAGTGAAAAGGTGCCTTGTCCTTTACTGGGATTCTGAAAGAAGTGACATGTCCTGTAACAATTGAAATGAAAACGGACCACTGACCTGTCAGTGGACATGATAAAAACAGTCGCAGGAGCCCAGAAACCTTACATAGAGAGACAGCCCAGCAAAAACACTTAGCGAATCTCTACCAAAGTTCAATTCCACGCAAGTTTGCTTCCATGGAGGAGTGGGGTTTTTTTGTTTTGTTTTTTGAAATCCTGCACTCGCCTCCTGAAAAAGAAACTTGCTGGGTTTTCTTTCTCCTCCCACAGTCTTGCAGGGGCCGGGCTGCTTCCTGTCAAGAGCCACTCTGCTGCCCCCTCTGTTCAGCCTCCCGCCCTCTCCCTCTCGGCTTCCTTCAAACCCTCGCTGCACTTGGAGCCTGATGCTGTGCAGAAACTCCTGACATCCGAGGCGCCCGGGCGCAGTGAGCATGCTCGGCGCCCCCTGGCCCCCCTGCCCCCCTGCCCGGGCAGGAAGCTGGTTTACATACGAGTCATACCAGGCATAGCCAGCATGTCAGCGCAGTCAACTTGCAGCAGGCTGTGAGGGAAGCCAGTGAGTGGGGCTTTGTCCTAGGAAATGTGCTTCGTGTTTTCCTTTTTTTACTCCTTTTTTTAATCTCGAAGACGGATTCGTAAAGACTTCCGAAACCTTTTTGTAATGCTCAGTCGAGGATACAGTCCATACACCGTCTACCCATAAACCCTTGAAGGGTTTTGTGTGACTGAGTTTTGTTTTTTTTTTTTTTTTTTTTTTTGTGTGTGTGTGTGTGTGCGTGCGCGTTTTTTGTTTTTAACTTTTACATACTTTGTTTTGATCATCTGAGGCCGGGCCTCGGTCTTTTGTGAAGTTTCAGCAGAGAGCCAGGAGCTACTCACCAACAACTGAATTTTGAAACTTTCTGTTTGGGGGCGAAAGCAAAGAGCTGGTTTTCTTTGCTATCCCGATAAATGCTATTTATGAAGATGGACCTGTTGAACTACCAGTACTTGGACAAGATGAACAACAATATCGGCATTCTGTGCTACGAAGGTAGACATTTTATGCTAGAATTCTATTCTGGAAATTCCTGTCCTTGGGCTTTTTCTCCTTTTTCTCGTGGCTGTTCCTGCCTTTGAGGGTTCCGATCGCCTTCTGAGCATTTTGTTTTTTTCTTGGGACTGTGGATTGCTGGAGGGGCAGCCTTGATGAGGTACCCTTTCAATGCAGAGTTTGTGCCTTAGTTGGGAGGGTGCCAGCAGAGCCTGGGAGATGCAGATGGTTACAACTTTACTGTAGGCTTGCAACGGAGTAACGCTTTACATTTAATTTATTTTAATTAATTTATTTATTTGGTATTTCTCTTGGTGTTTTCTTTAGGGGAAGAACTTCTAGGACCCAAGTACAAGTTAAAGTTGTTGGGTGTTTTGGGGGGAAGGGAAAGGGGAGGGGCCTTGCGACTTATTTTTCAATGTAACCACCATCTACAGTATTCCTGTTGGTATTCCAGGGAAGTTTTGCATTTTCATGTGCGGGGTGGGGGTATGGGTGCTGGGGGCAAAAAGTTACAGTGAGGTTTTGTTTCCAGGAGTGATGATTGTCCCCAGCGGTGGAGAATTTTTCTCTGCAGTTTGGGGGTCTGGAAGGGCACCCATGTCAGGGAGCACAGGCTGGCCCTTTGTCTGACTTCCCACTTCCTGTACTGCACGGATAGAGAGAGCACTGACATTGAGGCATGTCCCCTCTGCACTCGCTCGGGCCCCTTGTGGAAGTGATTACACAACACACCAGCCAGAAAGCAAAATGAAAAAAAAAAAAGTTAAAAAAAAAAAAAACCCAAAACAAAAACCAACCAAACCCCTCCTAAATTCTCCTTGTGGGTTACCTTGCACTCACTGTGGGTTGTTCCTTGCCGCCTCATAGTGCTTCCCCTGTCTCTGGTGTTAGAAGAGGAAAAGCGATTTCTCAAGCTCTTGGAACCCACTCTACGTGCGATTTGAAAAAGCAGCAATGGCCTGGGTTTGAGAGGCCAGAGAGGAGTCTCTGGGGGGCCTTGACTTGGCAGGAAGTCTTTTTTGTTGTAACCACCACATATGTGTTGGGGAGCCGGCTCCTTTCTGATTCAGCAGGGGCAGTTTCCATGTTTTCTCCTGCAGCCAACCAAACATTTTCTCCTGAAAACAAAACAGAACAACGGCGACAAATCTCGGGAGGGGAACTGGCTCACTTGTGTTTTTCATATAAAAAAAAAATTACAAGTCTGTTTCCTAATCGTTTGAAAACTTAATCCTCCTTCAAGGGAGGAAATCGCCTCATTCATTTTTATCCCTCTATTTAGCTCCATGGATAAGGATCTCATATAGAAAGGATTTTCCAAGGGAATTGTTATTATTACTATTTTTTTTTACTAGTTCCAGCCACTTCCCGAGTTGCTTTCTTTGAATCTGCTGCACTCAGTATCCTATTGCTTCTGAACTCATCAAAGGCAGAAGCAAGTGATGGGGCTCATTTCCTGTGGAGGCAATGTATTGTCGTTCCTTTATTTAAGAACTTTCTCCCCCAGTGAACAAGAAGTTAAAACTTTCAAGGCAATTTAGTTGTATTGTTGTTGTCAACAAGTAATAGGATATTTTAAAAACAAAACAGAACATGATGATCAGCCTGAGAGAGGGATATAACGATGGCTAGGAAATTGAGACCAGATTGATTTTTTTTTTCCCCCCTGTCTCTGGTTGGTGCACTGAGGAAGAGCTTAAAGAAAGCTCCTCCAGGTTGATTTATGGTCCCATGGTATGTCACGTACTCGCAAGTGGCTTGTTTTCTTCCCATCTCCCTCGATATGTGGAAGGCAGAAACTTTGATTTTGAAAGTTGGGCAGATATGTGGGATACCAGGCTGTGGTCTGTTTGGTTTACACATCTGCTTCTATTTTCCTTATTATGAAAGTTAACATTATTTTAACACCAAAATAAATACACAGGAAATGAAGAAAAGCACAGCAAAATTTGAGTGGTGTTTGGAGTGAGTTGTTTATGTCCTGGAGGTTTCTCCATGTAAACAGTGCACACATCTGGTCAGCGCCGTAAAGGGTGTTTGCAACACGGGCATCCATCAGACGTGGGTTTTTTTTTTTTTTTTTTTTTTTGGTAAGAAAAGTTGGAACAGTTGTGCTTTTCTGTCCAGCATGCTGAGAATATTCCTTTTGAACAAATCTGTTCCCCAACATTCCAGGGAAACTATTTGGAAAAGGAAACGTACAGTCGGTAGGCAACACTGGACTTCATTTAGAGCTCAGACAAGCAAGGTTCGTACCTCTTAGGAGTAAGGGACAAATCCGTTTTCTGACCTTGTAGCTTTAAAGATTAAGATCTGGGTGGTTATTTTTATTTCCCAGGTTAGTTATATCATATTCCCTAGCGGCATCCGACAACTCTGCTCCACAAAATAAACCCTGTGTCTTCGCCATCTTTCTTCACTCTCTAGCAACTTCTGTGCAGTCGTTCTGTAGCATACAAGGTCTTCCTGGATCTCCCTTTAGAACGATGGAGCCCAGGACCTGCCTAATACATCCCAAGCACATGCTCTGCCACTAAGTCGCACCCCAATCATACCCATTCCAAAAGGTGGAGATAAGGTCTCCCTGGTTGGTAACTACACCCTGGCACCTGCCTTTCACCATAGTAGTCTGCATGCAGACGTGAAAAGAGAACAAAGGAGAAAAATAGCCACAAGTAGGTTTGGGGAGGGAGACTGGTGGGGTAGCAGGAGAAGCAGATATGCAAAGGGTAGGCTGACTTCTGGGAACCTACTAATTACCTTCACTAATGATAAGGAAATTAGCAGAGCTGTGCTTGTGTTGATGCCCATGTCGGAAACCTCATGGTTGATGACTACTGTGCCCAACAGTTAACCAGTCCGTCCTTCACCACCCTGTTGAATGCTCCAATTACATCCGTGGGAAGCCCGGTTTTGCTCTGTCTTCACAGGAGGATCACAGGCCAAAGAGTCCTCATTTATTTCCCCCTCTAAACTCCTTAGAATACTCCAGAAGAAGGTTGGAAGCCTCTTGAGGGCAGGATGTGCTGTCTTGGTGAATGCTTCATCCCTAGGCCCTTGCTCTGTGCCCACCTGGGCTTTCAGGAAGTGGTTTAGGATGATGCCTTCCTCCAAGACAAACTAAATAGCAGTGCAGCCTCTCGAATGGCGGCTGTAGGTGCTGCTGTGTAATTTAGCACTTAATGATAGACTGCCTTGTATTCTCTAATTAATTACCCCAGAGCGATGCAGGGCCTCAGACATCATCTAACACCTTCACCTGTTTTCATCAAGGAAACTGAGGCCCAGAGTTTCTTGTCCACCCAGGTTTATTCAGAAAGCTTGTTGCAAGAATCCAACTGAGGTTAGAGCCCAGAGGATGTGAGAGTTCTGATTCTTTTATATCCTCCTGCCTGTGCAAAGTCATCGTGTGCCTTGTCTCCTTAATTTTTAGCTCTTTGACATTAGGGCCCGGGCATCCGTAGGGACCCTCCACCGTGCAGTTTGCAGCACATGGTGGAACCTGGTTTTAATGGTTGGTCCAAGTTCCAGGCTGTTGGGATGCTCGGGGAGGAGAAAAGGTCATGATGATGGTAGGTGACCAACCTCACCGGAGTTTGCTCTCCCTGCTGCTCTGAAACTTAGGCTTGAGAGGAGGAAGCCCTGTGCAGATGCCAGTGCCCGGTGAGCCCCCCAGCCAACAACAGGGAGCAGGTTGGACCCTTAACTTCTCTCAAGATGGCTGACGGCCGCATTTACATAATTACTTGGTGCTGAAAACTCAGGTCCTAATAAATGCGCTCATGGTTGGCGTGGCTGCGTAAGCCTCTGTGAGTGATACTTTAATTATGGGTTAAGAGCCATTAGTGTGTAATTTGGTAGATGAGTTCTCTCCTTTTAATTTAATGGTGTGATTTATATTGGGAGAAAGTTAAGAATAAATTGAGTATTTTGAGTTCCTCGGGCTTTAGAACTGTTGTAGAGGACAATTGTCACTTGTGTCACCACAGGCATCAGGAAACTTGGGAGTGTCGGTACTGGGAAGGTGAAAAGGCCACAGAGCAGAGCAGTTTGCGCCCTGTGTATTGAGCTGGGGTGAGGGATGTGTTCCACGAGGGACATCTGTAAGTGTTTTGCTGTGCAAATTCATTTTACTTCAGCGTTTCACCGGGAATGAGGGTTGGGGGGACAGAATAGGAATCTGGGAGGGAGCTCAAGTAAGTAAGTAAGTAAGGTGAGCCCAGGAAGGCCTCTGAGCATCTGGCCAGTTTGTGCTCCTTCTAATTACAGTTTGCTGGGAAGGTGTGAGCACACCCCCTTCCTCCCAGCTCCCGCCCTGTTCCTCCACCCCCTTCTGGAAGGATCATTTCACTTGCCTGTTTATCTCTTGGAGCCTGCCTTTGGCTCTGTGGGGAAGGCAGATTCCTCTTCCTTCCTCCTTCCCTTCTCTTTGTCTCCACCACCTCCTCTTCCTAGGATGCTTAGATTTGTCCCTGGGAAGATTTTTTTAATTAAAAAAAAATCATAAAGATATAAAGAGATCCCTGCCATCTTGGGAGGAGGTTCAGAACTTCTCAGCCTAGTTTCAAAGGTTACAGAAAACTGGATTTTGTCCTGAAGAAATTGGTTCCAGATTTAGCACTTTGCATGTATACAGATATACAAAAAAAAGCCTTACCAGGGGATGTTTCTGGCTCTGTTTCATCTTGATGCATTTAACATGTTATTCAATGACAATTTATGTGTAATGGTGTTTATGTATTGTGTGCTGAGTTGTGGTGATTATTTTTTGGACTTGTTCAGCAATATAAGCTTGTGGAACAAAATAGGGCTGGCCCTCCCCCCACTGGTATAAAGAATGTATGTGTTAGCCCTGACCCCCCCCAAACCTTAACTCTGGTGCTTATTTTTAAAAGTGGGTCCCAAAAAGGGTTTTATCCCCTCCATTCGCGCTTGCCCCTTCTTTCTCTTCCTCCTGAACGTCCCATGAAGACTCCTGTCTGTCTGCTGTCTTCTCT